AGACTGAGATAGGTTCTAAAGAGGAAAATTGGTAATTTTTGGTCCTATATCTTGGTCTCTTTAGAGATTTTATCCCTATAAGTTGTCCGGTTTCAATTTTACATGCAATAACTATGCAAAATTAGTATTTTTAGTCCTATTTCGCTCAAACTTTGAATTTTAGCTGTCGTTTAATGATGTACATAACAAACTCGTAGAAATTGATTTATATGGAGACTTAAAAATTATAATTACTCCTCTAATTTGGTTTATAAATGTGTAGTCTCACATAATTAAAGTTCTACCAATAGTAAGTTCAATGTCGAATTTATAAATTTTCAAGTGACCATATATGTAAAATAATTAAAATGCGTCAAGTTTATTTGTGGCATCATAAAATTAAAAATCATGCAAAATAGGACTAAAAATACTATATTTGCAAAGTTATTGCATGTAAAACTGAAACATGACAAGTTAGAGGACTAAATTCTGAAATAGGCCAACATAGAGGACCAAAACTAAAATTTTCCTATCTTATCTAAAGAGGTTCGACTTACCCAAATCCTTCAACTTACTAACCCTAGTTGCAGATTCCAAATCCTTAGCATGCCTGGAACGAAGAAATAAAAAAAGAAAAGAAAAGTTGAATCAAACAAGTTGAATGAAACGAGGAATCAAACAAACAAAAACGAAAACGAAAACGAAAACATAAACAAGAAAGTAATCAAACCCTTCCAAGAATACTACTTCAGCACAAAAGATTGCCGAAATAAGGCAGCAAGACGCCCCTTCAACTGGGATCATTTTTAACCAATCAATTGCCACTTTCGACCAATCAGTTGCGACTTTCGACCAATCCATGGATGGCTGAGTTTAAAATATATCCAACACAGTAAACAAAAAAGGGACTAGGGTTTTTCGACGAGCACAGTTATCTTGAATGGTTTTATATTGAAGCTAGTAGTTATCTTGCTAAGGAAGAAAGGGTATTAGTAGCCGAAACACTTGGTGGGTTGGGCTGGGCTGGGTGGGGGTGTGGCGCGGTGGCCCCTGAGATTAAAAAATACGTAAAAAAATTAAGATTTTTTTTGATAATATTCTGTATATACAAATGGTATAAAGGTGAAAAGGGTGTAAGTAAAATGTTTTCCGGAACCAAAAGGACAATAAGCCAGGTTGCACCACCGCCGCAAGTCATCCACCGGAGAAAGCAACCATGACGATAACCACCATCCCCTCACCACTTCACCCAATTCAGCCCCCACAGCGCCGCCGTGGACCGTGGCCAATTTAGCTTGCGGCTGTGGTGGGTGCCGCCGGCGGAGCATTGGAGGCCTACTTGATGTAGTAATTATTTTCGATGCAGGCGTCCGGGCAAGGATGGGTATAGTGAGCCAATTTCCTTCCATCGGAGAAGAAGATTTGATCTTTGAAATCAATACGATGCGGTATCAATTTTTGTTTTGGGTGAGTATGTTGGATGGGTGGTGGTCGGGAGAGGCGGTGGATTTGGGGTTATTTTAGATTTTTTTGTTTTTAAATTTAATTTATTTTTTATTAATAATTTATTTTTATTTCCATTTTACTTGATGTTTTCTTCGTCGATTTTTCTAGGAACGAAACGAAACTATGGAATTGGATTTTTCAGAAAATCATGTTCATCATCATTTCGCTCATGTACCAAATATAATTGGGATTTTAAAAGTCGTTGATTTCCTATTCTCTTGCATTTTCATTTTTTTTATTTTAAAATTCATGAACCAATCAGAATCTTAGGATTTCATAATAGTTTTGGTAAAAGAAATGCAAATCGTCACGGTTTTAATATAGTTCTGGGGAAATATAACTTTACTACTTAATGAATTACTCAGGTACATAACAAGTTTTTATCATTTCAGTCAATTGTGTATCATAAGTTTCATTCTTCATAATATCTTTTCAATATATTATAATGAATACTGTTTTTTAACCATCATTTTGTTGCCTTGGAACATCAAGTTTTTGTGAACTGTCCTATTTCATTTTGTATAATTTACTCAAAAGTTCTGCGCCCTTTTTTTTTCTTCCCCTATTTCTCTAAGAGGTACTGAAAATGTATTGGCCCCAAATTAT